TGTTCTGTCTGGAATGTTCCGCAGTGTGACTTTAAACAGCTCAACTTCACATTTATTCACTTACAGGAGGTTTTAGAGTCAAAAACATCAAGAAAAACAAACACTGTGACTGTGAGTGTCGCCTCTCCACAGATCTGACCTGGAACTCAGTCTGGTTTGGTCTCCATGGAGATGGAAAGGTTTAATGCCACACTGTGGAACATTCAGACAAAAAAGCAATAACATCTCCATGGAGAAAAGTGTTTGAAGGACCCTCCACCAGAAAAGTTACACAATGCAGCTTTAAATGTGCATTTCCACTGAGCAGAATAAAAAAACAGAGTAAAGGTCGAGTCTGGAGTATTGTGTTTATTTAAAAAACAGAATCAACACGACATCGTACTGTCTATAATACATACTACTATAGAATATACTGTATATACTGTATAATATTATAGAATATACTGTATATACTAATAGAATATACAGTATGTAGTACACACTAACACACTAAACTACAAATACAACTGTTTGATGAGATTATTTTAGACTGGCTGTTTGTGTTTTCTACAGTAAAATTGAGTTAGTGTATGAGTGTGTGTATGAGTGCACGTGCGAGTGCATGTGTGACTAGGCCTGTGCACGTGTGACTAGGCCTGTGCACGTGCAGACTGCGCCTGCGTGCGCACGTGTCGGCCATTGCTGCTCAGGAGTCTGGGATACGCAGTCTCGATGGAGCGTCCGTGTCTCACGACAATCAGCTCCATCTGACACTGGTCGATGTTCACGAGGATGGTGGAGCTCCTCTCGGTGGACAGGAGGAACACCACCGTGTACAGCGCCATCTCAAACTCTGGACTGGTCCCAATGAAGGCGCTGCCCACCGGCTTCACCACGCCGTGCCAAGTGAACTGCAGGTTCAACACGTGGTCGTCCTGATCCGGCTGGAACAACAACAACACAGAGACACACCTCACTTTTATATGAATAATACAGGAATAATAAGTTCATAATATGTTAATAATACTTTAATAATGCTAATACTAATGCTGATATCTGCTGCTCAGTGTGAGTCGGGGTCGGGGTCAGTGGTGGATTCAGAACAGTCATGTTCCTAAATGGCCCCACAAAGGTCCCACACTCATCAGGTCCCGCACTCACGAGGCCCCACACTCACAAGGTCCCACACTCATCAGTTACCACACTCACGAGGCCCACACAGGTCCCACACTCACAGGTCCCACACAGGTCCCACACCACAGGTCCCACACTCATCAGTTACCACACTCACGAGGCCCCACAGTCATCAGGTCCCACACTCACCAGGTCCCACACTCACGAGGCCCCACACTCACGAGGTCCCACACTCATCAGGTCCCACACTCACCAGGTCCCACACTCACGAGGCCCCACACTCATCAGATCCCACACTCACAAGGTCCCACACTCATCAGGTTCCACACTCACGAGGTCCCACACTCATCAGGTCCCACACTCACGAGGCCCCACACTCACGAGGTCCCACACTCATCAGGTCCCACACTCACCAGGTCCCACACTCATCAGGCCCCACCCTCACCAGGTCCCACACTCACGAGGACCCACACTCATCAGGTCCCACACTCACGAGGCCCCACACTTACGAGGTCCCTGAGGCCCGCCTTGAATCCTTTGTAGTCCAGGTGCAGATTTTTCTCCTGGAGGTAAAACTGGACCCAGTTGTGGAAACCGATGAGTTCATTTCCAGAACGAGTTTCTCCAACAAACACGTGTTCAAACCCACACGAGTCCAGCCTGAAAGAGACGCACAAACATCACACAAACACACAAACATCACACAAACACACAAACATCACACAAACACACAAACATACACAAACACACAAACATCACACAAACATCACAAACATCACAAACACACAAACATACACAAACATCACAAACACACAAACATCACACAAACACACAAACATCACAAACATCACACAAACATCACACAAACATCACACAAACATCACAAACATCACAAAAACACACACAAACACACAGACATCACAGGACACACAATTACTGTCCTCGCCCTCCCACCCTCGCCTTTTTCCCCTCGTTCTGCCCTCGTCCTCTCGCCCTCTTGCCCCTCTCCCTCTCGCCCTCTCGCCTGGTTCTGCCCCGGCGTGTCACTCACTGGCTGTTCCTCTGCCGGCGGTACAGGTGGAACCAGATCAGGTTGAGTTGGTTCTTGAAGGTTCTGAGGTCAGAGCTGGAGAGTCTTTTACTCACCAGGTACTGATGGGCCCTCTGCAACGGAACAGAACAGAACAGAACATGACGGAACGGAACAGGACGGAACCAAACAGAAAAGAATGGAAAAGAACAGAACGGAACAGAACGGAACAGAACAGAACGAACAGAACAGAAAGGAACAGAACATGACGGAACAGAAGAGAATGGAACAGAACATGACGGAACGGAACATAACCAAAAAGAAAAGAATGGAAAAGAACAGAATGGAACAGAACAGGACAGAACAGAACGGAACAGAATAGAACAGAAGAGAACGGAATGGAACGGAACATGACGGAACGGAACAGAACAGAACCAAACATTAAAAGAATGGAAAAGAAGAGAACGGAAAAGAACAGAACAGAAGAGAAAAGAAGAGAACGGAACAGAACAGAACGGAACAGAAGAGAACAGAACGGAACAGAACAGAACAGACATTTTATTTTTATTTAAATGAGTTTTTAGGGTCATATTTCACTCTGTTTTGTTCTGCTGTTGTTTCCTCGTCACAAACCTGGACTTGTGTTTTTAAACTAAAATCATCTGGATCATTTTTTCAGCTTTGGAATTTCCATCTCTGACTCATGCGTCTCAAAAATCCCATTTGTTCTGGATTTAATGAACCTGTTTCACTGAGCTGTTTCTGATCGACTCTGGAGTTCACAACAGACAAAATGTGAAATAAAAATCTGTTTTTGTGTCGATGTGTGAGAGTTTCTTGTGTTTGGAGCTGAACTCGTGTGGAGGTCGAGACTCTGGAGACGTCCACAGATGCTGCAGAGTTTTTCTCTCTTCATCACAAACACGTGAGCTGCAGAAACATCATTCCTTTAAATCCCAGTGAAGCCTCCCTGACCCAGAATCCTCAACAAACCTGACCAAACCTCAACAGACTCGACCAAACCTCACCAAACCTGACTAAACCTGACACCAAACCTGACCAAACCTCACCAAATCTCACCAAACCTCAACAAATTCCCAACAAACCTGACTAAACCTGACTAACCCTGACCAAACCTGACACCAAACCTGACACCAAACCCAACGAAACCTGTCCAAGGATCCTCACCAAACCCGACCAAACCTCACCAAACCCGACCAAACCTCACCAAACCCGACCAAACCTCAACAAACCCGACCAAACCTGACAAAACCTGATCAAGAATCCTCACCAAACCCAACCAAACCTGACACCAAACCTGACCAAATCCGATCAAACCCAACCAAACCTCAACAAACCTAACCAAACCTGACCCAGAATCCTCACCAAACCTGACCAAACCTCAACAAATCCCAACAAACCTGACTAAACCCGACCAAACTCGAACAAACCTCACCAAACCTCAACAAACTCGACCAATTCCCACCAAACTCGAACAAACCTCACCAAACCTGACTAAACCTCACCCAGAATCCTCACCAAACCTCATCAAACTTCCAAATCAAACCTCACCAAATCTCACCAAACCCGACCAAATCAAATCAAACCTCACAAATCCACACCAAACATGACCAAACCAAACCCAACCAAACTTCACCAAACCCTACCAAACCTCACCAAACCTGACACCAATCCTCAAAAAACCTGACACCAAACCTCACCAAACCTGACGCCAAACCTGACGAAACCTGACCAAGAATCCTCACCAAACCTCAACAAACCCCAACAAACCTGACTAAACCCGACCAAACTTGAACAAACCTCAACAAACCTCACCAATTCCCACCAAACCCGACCAAACCTGACTAAACCTCACCCAGAATCCTCACCAAACCTCATCAAACTTCCAAAATAAACCCAACTAAATCTCACCAAACCTGAACAAACCTCACCAAACCTCACGAAGCCTCACCAAACCCAACCAAACCTCAACAAATTCCAACAAACCTGACACCAAACCCGACCAAACCTAAACAAACCCGACCAATTCCCACCAAAGCCGACCAAACCTCACCCAGAATCCTCACCAAAGCCAACCAAACCCAACTAAACCTCACCAAACCAAACCAAACTACACCAAATCTGACCAAACCTCACCAAATTTCACCAAACCTGACAGCAAACCAAGACAAAATCAGAAGATTAAAGGTCTATACTGGAACTTTTACAGATGGGACCAGATCTTGAGCCACAGACTTTTCCACGTTTTTGCGTTTGGATAAAAAAAGGTTCATCTTTCCTGCTTGTCTCCATGGAGATGTCACTGCTTTGTCTAGAATGTTCCACAGTATAAAACCGTCAGTGTCAGGGAAGACGACTGTAGGCTCCATTACCGGTCAGATCTGTGGAGAGGCGTCCGTGTTCAAACAGAGAATTACTGTATTTTTGAGTCACAGAAACAAACATAATGAAGAAAAGCTGGAGAGATGTTTAATGCCACACCACGGAACATCTCCATGGAGACGAGCAGGTGACGGACGCTCCACCAGGAAAGTGTTTTTATAAAAGTTGTGTTGTTGTGTCGCTGCGTCGGGCGAGGACTGAACAGACGAGCGTTTGTTTTGATCCACTGGCTCCAGATTCAGGTTTTCGGGGGAAGTTCTCTGAAACAGACGCAGGTCCAGACTCGTCCAGACTCGTCCAGACTCACCCTCATGACTGGAGTCTGCAGCACCGCGTCCAGGAACTGACTGATCTCCAGAAGCTCGTCTGCTGTGACCTGCTCCGCCACGCCCGTCGCCCGCTCGAAGTTATCCAGAAGTTTGATGAGCCCTGAGGAGAAGAACAACACGAGAAC